AAACTGCCTCGTTAAAATTTAAGAATATGCTTTATTTAAAAGCATATTTAGCCAAAAATAATAACAAGTGAATTAACTTAACGTTCTACACACCTATAAAACTTTTGCTTTGTTTTCTATTGTTGATTAATATACACTTTTGTTTTAAGAAATTGCTAAACATTTTCGTCGAGTACTGTACAGTTCTAGTCGATCTCCTAAGACCGCCCATCGAGAGCTCTGCTCGTTCAAGCTTGTTCCAACTATTTCTGTCTTGCTCACGCCTGGTGTGTATTCTTTCTCTCTTCGCGCAGATTTCTTCAAGGTCACAGTTCTAACAAATTGAAATGGACTGTAGCATTGTTTTATTTTACAACCTTTACAACTGTAAAATTTGAAACTTATTACGTCTATAGTTCAAAGTTATCGACTTTAAGGATTTGCCAACAATGTAAGTACACCATTGTTTCTTAGAAAACAAGTCGAATCAAAATCCGCGTAAGTCAAAATCCTCCATAAGTCGAAAATTCTAAATCTCGAAATTTTTGGCGTCTCCCTCAATGTTCAAGTTTTAGAGGTTCTACTGTATAAGGAAAAAGACACACTATTGCAACCAACTTTGAACCTTAATACGTATAGTCTTTAGGGAATCATTTTCTAAAACCTTTCCAACTAAATCATGCAGGAATAAGCGAAATGAAATTTTTATTTGAAGTGTCATTTTGTTTATCTTTATTTCTGATTGAGTAATTATACATACATTAAACTTCATTTCATTTTTAAAAAGAAACCATGTGAATGTGGACAAGCTTTACATACCAACGTGTAACTGATAACTAAAAAATGAATGTATGTGTGAAAGCCTTTTAAATTGAGTTTTTTCCAGCGTCTTTCTTTGAATAAACCCGTAAACAAGTTTTAGTAATAGATGTAGTGAAATGCATTAATAAGTAAACATTAAATCATGGATGCGAAGGTAAGTCAAACAGGTTTAGCCTTTCAAATTCAAAACTAATTTATTACCCCTCTATTGCAAGTGGTAATCTCGTCTCGGTCGAAGGTCAAAATTAAATATAAAAATCACAGTCGAATTACAACAGACATCAGATAATTGATTAACNACAATAAAACACAAGAATGTTTCAACAATAGAAATATAATAAAACAACCGCTTCCACCTATCTCGATAAGTACAGAAATATTTAAAATACTCTTGAAAATGACTGAGTAGGTCGAAACAATTGTCGATTTGTTTTATTATATTTTTATTGTTAAAACCTTCTTGTGTTTTATTTCAATATTATTAACTTGATTTGCATCCCTGTCTCGTAATATAGGCTATGCCGTAAATTTAAATAACAGCAAATACCAGCGAATGACTATATCTGCCTAAAATTCGATATTACACCCATATTGCCTCTTCGTAATATTATTAGTGCATTACAGCATACTTTTCAACCAAACGAATGCAATGAAGGTAGTTGCAATAATTTCACTGAAAACTTCTCATCAAAACGTACTAAAAGGTTTACTACATTTATGATAGCTTTCTTTATAAATACAGTAAAATCTCCTTAAATCGAACCTCGATAAGTCGAACATCTCCAAAACTCGAAAAAATGTTTTGTTCCCTCCCCTTCAAGCACTAAAGCCTCCATTACTTGAAATCTCAACCCTCTAGTAGATAAAACAATTAGTGAGTCCCTGCAAGCCATTTTGGGACATGTTTTCCCTCTACAAATCGAAAATACAAATTAAACCTTTGTATCTTAGGGCTGACGACTTTATTATGATGACGATGATCCCGAACATAGCAATGTTTTATTTTATACCTTTTATAACTCGATAATTTAAAACTTATTANACTTTTAGAAAGTCAATGGTACGGCGATCATGAAACTCATGGTATAATTGCTGCTCCTCTTCTTGCTCATGGTCATGGACATGCTACAATCGTAGGACCCTCTAGCCACGGTATTGTTGCTGGACCCGTAAATCATGGTGCTACCCTTGTTGGCCCATCTCACCATGCTTCAGTTGTTGGACCAGTTGACCTTGGAGCAACCCTTGTTGGACCATCTCATCATGCTTCCGTAGTAGGACCAGTTGACCTTGGAGCAACCCTTGTTGGACCTTCCCATCATGGTTCAGTAGTAGGACCCATTGAGCATGGAGCAACTCTAATTGGTCCATCTCATCATGGTTCAGTTGTAGGACCTACCCATTTAGGAGCTCACCTTGTACCACCCTCAGCTCATGGTATTGTTCATGGAAGTCACAGTCATGGAACCATCCTTCTTGCTTCTTCGTCCCTCTATCATCATTAAATCTTAAGCTTATCATTCACTATGAGATTTGCTGTTACACCATGAATTAACTAAATTTCGTATATCGATACACAGAAACGTGGTTATTGATGGTTAACAGTGTGAGATTTTGTTGCAATTCATTCATTGTTGTAATTTTTTCTTCATATTCCGTTAAATAAAATATTTTGCTCTTTTATATTTCATCAGTTTAATTTAAAGCAATTAAAATTAACATTAAGAGATGAAATAAGCTGTAAGAAATTTAAACGTCTTTAATGTCAATTGTGAAAGACTCGAGAAGACCAAACAGTGTATTTATACTTTTGAAGGACTTTGTTTGTGCATTTCGACTACGGCCAGTGAAACACCAATTAAAAACTGTGATGCATGCTTCTATATGTGTAATTTAAAAACAGGAAACGCGATTTGATTTCTTAATTAGTATTTGCAATTGGAAGGCGATCTTAAAAATCATTTGTACTAATTAAGTATCTATACGTTTCTATATGTGTAATTTAAAAACAGGAAACGCGATTTGATTTCTTAATTATTATTTTGCAATTGGAAGGCGATCTTAAAAGTCATTTGTACTAATTAAGTATCTATACGTACAAATATTGGTCATTGAGTGAAAGACCATAATGCCATTAAGGATTTTACTTAGTACAAATACTTTAGAAATTGTTGCAATTTTTAGAAATTAGAGAATTGGCTACTTAGTATAGTAAATATGAAAATTTGTGTGATTTGGTAGCTTCATCAGATAGTGGGTCATATTTTATGCTTTGGGTGAATGTTTTTCTTTCAGGTACCTACTGCAAAGGTACCTAACAAAGAATTCAGGATAAATAATCATGGATTATTTATTAATTTGTTAAGACTATTGTAGGTGTATAAGTGAAGAAACATATTTGTTCCAACAATAAAAACATATTAAAACGTACAAATATTGGTCATTGAGTGAAAGACCATAATGCCATTAAGGATTTTACTTAGTACAAATACTTTAGAAATTGTTGCAATTTTTAGAAATTAGAGAATTGGCTACTTAGTATAGTAAATATGAAAATTTGTGTGATTTGGTAGCTTCATCAGATAGTGGGTCATATTTTATGATTTGGGTGAATGTTTTTCTTTCATGTACTGTAAAGGTACCTAACAAAGAATTCAGGATAAATTATCATGGATTATTTATTAATTTGTTAATACTATCGTAGGTGTATAAGTGAAGAAACATATTTGTTCCAACAATAAAAATATAATAAAACTCGAAAGTTGTTTCGACCTATCTTCAAGAGCACAGAAATATGTAACATATTTATGTACACTTGAAAATGACTGAATAGGCCGAAACAATTGTCGATTTGTTTTATTATATTTTTATTGTTAAAACCTTCTTGTGTTTTATTTCAATATTATTAACTTGATTTGCATCCCTGTCTCGTAATATAGGCTATGCCGTAAATTTAAATAACAGCAAATACCAGCGAATGACTATATCTGCCTAAAATTCGATATTACACCCATATTGCCTCTTCGTAATATTATTAGTGCATTACAGCATACTTTTCAACCAAACGAATGCAATGAAGGTAGTTGCAATAATTTCACTGAAAACTTCTCATCAAAACGTACTAAAAGGTTTACTACATTTATGATAGCTTTCTTTATAAATACAGTAAAATCTCCTTAAATCGAACCTCGATAAGTCGAACATCTCCAAAACTCGAAAAAATGTTTTGTTCCCT